TGCCCTGCCAGGGCAAGTGTTCCAAAGCTCTTTAGCTCCAGCGTTAAATGCCTGGGGATACCCCACTCCATCAGTAAACTTTGACCTGATGGAACTCAGCTCTCTCGCTCTGTGGGTCTGCAAGCCTAGCTCCACTGATGAGTGCCCAGAGGCACCCCACTCTGCCAGGAAGCCTCCTGAACAAAGCACGCAGCTCTCTTGCTCTGTGGGCTGGTTCCAGTGCTGTCTCGCGCTGGTCTCCTGTTTCTCGCCATCTGCACCATCTGCAAACCCAATCCTGTTGAGTCGATTCTGATTTATAGCGACCCTATAAGGTCATAGTCAAACTGCCCCATAGGGTTTCCAAGGAGTGGTTGGTGGATTCAAACTGTCAACCTTTTGGTTAGCAGCCGAGCTCTTAACCAATGCACCACCGGGGCTCTAGAGTTACCACAGGACCAAGTTTTTCCTCTTCTAACTAAATACCCAAGAAAAATAAAAACATACGTTGACACAAAAATTTGTACACAAATGTTAATAGTAGCATTACTCATAACACCGGCAAGTGAAAACAATTCAAATGTCCATCAAGTGATGACTGAATAAACAAAATGTGGTATATTCATATAATATAATATCATTAAGCCATAAAAAGTAATTAAGTACTGATACATGTTACAACATGGACAAACCTTTAAAACATTATGTTAAAATGAAAGTCAGACACAAAAAACCACATATTGTATGATTCCATTTAAATGAAATATCCAGAATAAGTAAATTGACCAAGACAAAAGATTAGTGCTTGCCAGGAGCTGGGGGGTGGGGAGGTGAGGAACGTCTGTTAATGGTATGGAGTTTCTTTGGGGATGATGACAAGGTTCTGGAATTAGAGAATGGTGATAGTTACACAATTTTGTGATTATACTCAAAACTGGACACTTTAAAAGGGTAAACTTTATGTATTATATCTCATAAAGCTATTATTAAAAATACTTTAATATAATAAATAATAATTTTAAAAAGTCTATTACTGTAATACAGGCGGGAGTTGGTGATGGCTTGAACTAACGCAGTGGCCGTGAAGATGGAATAGAATATTCACTTTTGAGAGATATTTACAGGGTATAAAATAAGTAACACTTTAATACCACAGTAAAATCTGGAAAAGCCAGAACCTGTGTAAGGCAGAAACTCAGAGAAGGAAAACTCAAATATGTATTTTCCACTAATAGAGAGCAACAGATAAGTGGTAAGACTTCACCCTGTCAAAGGCGGAAAACTGGCGAGACCCAGAAAAACAAGGCTGCATATTTGAGTGAACAACCAACCAGGATGACTGCTGTTGTTATAGTTGCAGTCAAGTCGGCTCCGACTCATGGCAACCTTACATGTAACAGAAAGAAACACTGCCGGGTCTTATGCCATCTTTATGATGGTCAGTATATTTGAATCCATTGTTGTGGCTATTATGTCAATCCATCTCACTGAGGGTTTCCTTTGTTTGCATTGGTCCTCTACTTTATCAAAGCAGGATAATACTTTCTCAGTAATAAAATTGGTTTAATAATGTTTTCTTTAAAAGAAAACAAAACAGTCAGGCTGCCTGGGTTCATACTCTAGCTTCAACACTTACTAGCTGTTCACCCTTAAACAAATTTCTTAACCTTTCTTATCTGTAAAATGGTAATATTAGAAACTATCTAGAATTGTTGAGAGATTAAATGAGATAATGCCCATAAAGGACTCCACAAAAAGTGTCCAGCACACGACTGTTCGATAATATGTAATGCTTCCTTCCTAGACTGTGAATAACTTCAGAACAGGGATATATCTATCTTATTTACATTTGTGTACTCCAACGTAGTACTGACACATGGCAGGAATTCAAGAAATAATTGTTAAATATAAATTAGTCTCCTCTGACCAATTTTGGGTAAACTGACAAAATCAGGTTTCTGAATCAGCAAAGCTGAGTACTAGATTCTGTCTGAACCCATGAAGATCCCCTGACCCTTGAGTCCGAGTAGCTAGTCGGTTACCTATCAGCAGTTAACACCTGAAGTCAATTTCTTCCCTCAAATATTTGTTCCCAAAGAATGTTTCTCCTCATCTTTAATGGGATTCACTTCCCTTATTATCAAAAATTTCTCCACTTTTTAGTGTGCTTTCTCAATGGGTTTTTTTTCCCTCTCTTTTCTTTTTTCACTCATGTAGTTTCATGTTTAATTCTCTACAGATACCGGGTAATAAGTTTCCCCAAAAGCTTTCTGGGAGTTGAGTTGGCTTGTCGAAAGATATTCTTAGCAAATTATTTAGTATTCCATCCCCTGCCCCCAAACATCCAGACACAGTAGAGCAATTCACTTCTCACAGGTAGAGTTTGCAGCACTCAAAACAGAACATCCCTTCATGGTTTACCATCTTCTAGTCCACTGAATTCAAAACTACTATTCCCAGTCACTCTTCCTCAAACTCCTCCCCACCCCGACCACAATTCCTAAGAAGGCTAGCCAATTCCTTTGCTCTCTCTCATTCTTTCCAATGCTGAATATATTGTGAAAAGTATTACATTTAACCTTCTTGGCAGGTAATAAAATTTAAGTGATTATAAATCAACTGTAACTATTTGTTATACAAAAACTGCTGTCAAAGACTGAACATTCAACAAACATTTACTAAGCAATTACTAAGTGTTAGGTAATATGCTAGGTGTGAGGGTAGGGGGTCAGAGATAATTAAGACAGAGTTTCTAATCTGAAGATGCTGAATCCAAGATAGGAAACAGACAAGAAATTAAGTAACCATAGTACAGGCATTTCTCCTACTACAAAAGTTTTAAAAACACAATTGGATACAACCTGATCTATTAAATAGGTATGTGGGTTGCACTGAATAGACATTTATTGGTAATAGATGGCTGATCTTTGGGTATCAACACTGTGAACATAATGAAAACAAACTGTTAATGGACAGAATATAGGAAGACAAAGCAGGATACAAGACACTTTGAGTGTCAGGCTACCAGAGGAGTTAAATATGGTAACTTCTTTGGATGACCTGGGACCTTATTAACTCTGGTTTGATCTTATGACGTGCTTTTCAAGATTTGTTTGATGATGTCCAAGTTTATTTTTGTCATTTTTATATATCAATTTATTATATGTTAGCATGTGATAAAATTATATTTATAGTTATGTTTTAAAATCTTTATTACTGAAAATTCTGTAGGAAACATAGTTTAACTATTGTGAATCTGATACTCTCCAGCCTTAACTCCTATTCCCCAATGAAACAATAGTTTTTACAATGTGATCTCTAAACATATAAACCTTCTTTGAAAAGCAAAAGGAAAGTTATGGCAGAAAAGTTAAGTATTGTATGGTGAAGTAACTATAAGAATACAAAGAAGAAAGCTTAACCTGAAGGGATATATCAGGATAAGACTCACATCCAGTAGAGAAGCCTGAGCTTGGCAAAGGATAGATGAGGATCATCCAAGTAATAAAGAAGAGAAAGCTTTTCTAGGTAGAAAGAATAAATACTACAGCATGTGTAAATGTACGGAAGTACAAAGTACAAAATAAGTGTAATGTATATAAAATACATATTTACATTTAAATATAAGGAATTAACATTTCTCTTTCCTCCTATTTAAAAAAAAAGGAACAGGAGTTAGTTGTAAAACTTACAAATTCAGTGCTTCTGTATACTCTTGTATTTACACTTTTGTGTAAATCCACCTCTGGGTAGATGAATTAGAAAAAGGAGTTCCTCTTGGGCAGATGAAGGAGGAAAAAAGTACCACCTCTGGGTAAAAACAGCCCTGAGGGTGACTGCTTGTCAAGTGGAGCATACCTTTGTGTCAAGAAAAATGGACAGATACAGACAGGTGAGACCTCTGCGAGGGGAACCAGACATCCTAGATTTCAGGCCCTACCAGCCCTCTTAACCAGGCACCATTGTGCAGTGCACACACTACACAATCACACATGACAGACTTGAGAAATTTGCCTTCCATGTAGAAGCAGCATATTAGATCAGCAGAAATTTAACAGAGACCATATGGAAAAATTTTGTTTTCATTCATTCATTTATTCAACAAATATTTACTGAACACATACTATTGTGCCAGGGCATCTGGAAGACATTGGTGAACTTTCTTGCATTACACTTACTCTGTAAATAACTGTTAATAGTGGTTTTTACTGAAGAAAGTACACAGTTAGGATAGGGGTGTGTCATGGTTTGAATTATGTTCCCCCAAAAATGTGTATCAGTTTGGCTAGGCCATGATTCCTGGTACTGTGTGATTTTCCTGTATGTTGGAAACCTGCCTCTATGATGTTAATGAGGGAGGACAGGTGGCAATTGTGTTAGTAAGGCAGGACCTGATCTACAAGACTGGATTGTGTCCTGAGGCAATCTCTTGAGATATAAAAGACAGAAGTGAGCAGTGAGACAGGGGGACCTCATACCAGCA